TCATATTCTGTGCCGTCTGGATCACCTTCATCCCAGCTTATGTCAGCTCACCTGGGAAGTTCACTGTGGCCGTCGAGATATTTGCCATTTTAGCTTCCAGTTTTGGTTTGCTGTTCTGTATTTTTATCCCAAAATGTTATATTATTTTGCTTAAACCAGAAAAGAACACAAAGAAATTCCTTATGGGTAAAATGCCTTCAAAATCTCTGTGAAAAACATATGTAAATAAAAATATGTAAAAGTAAGTATTAAATAAACTTGTATATTTTTTGAGTAGTGTTTACAATAGAATGTAGAAGACAATTTATTGACTATACATATTTTAGGAAATGATGACAAATATATCTATCAAACACAACAAAAATAACCAGTGAATTCTCATCATATAAATAATCCTGATATAAAATGCTGTAAAAATTCCTGTGGGCAGAAATGCTATCGGCTCTTTGTACGCACTATGATGTAATTTCATTTTGTGGATGATCCTGACAACCTCGCACACCGACTGAAACATCACCATCATCATCAAAAAGAGAAAAAAAACTATATTTGATGAACAATGATTCAAATTAAATTTACAGATAATCCATAACAATTCAAGAACTGCTTTGAGGTCTAATGGGGTTGGGGGGCACTCTTGAAACCACGGTTACTCCTGACTCACTTGGGAAAAGTACTGAAAGGGAACCATGGTTCAACAGGTGCCAATGTATGAGAGGTAGTATAAAGGTGGCAGAAGGCAAGGAAGGGAGCTGTGCGTGTGCGCTGACAGGCTGAGCTATGCTGCTTCTGCTGGGTCTGTTACTGATCGGACCACCAGCCCAGGCTGAGGACTCCAAGTGCACGCTGCTAGGCAGAGCGCAACTTCCAGAACTTTCCAAGGATGGGGATATGCTTATCGGAGGAATCTTTTCATTTCACACTGGACAAGAGGCTGACATACAGTCCTTTACAACAATCCCAAAACCGCTGCCATGCAAAAAGTATGTAAATATTAAATTTATCTTTTCAATGCTAACTGCTATATTGCTTGACTTATCCATTATTAACAATAGAAAATTTCCAGTATGTAGAAATAAGTCTAATCAAAAACTAATGCTCTTTTTCCAGTGTAAATTTCAGAGAATTTCAGTTTGCTCTTACGATGATTTTTGCAATAGAAGAAATAAACAGAAATTCTGAAATTCTACCTCATGCATTCCTGGGATACAAAATTTATAATGACTGTGGCACTTCAAACATAATGAGAGCTGCTTTGGCTTTGGTAAATGGCCAAGATCAAGCAATCCACAGCAATAACTGCACTCAACCAGACACAGTTCAAGCTATAATAGGCCACTCAGGATCAACACCTACTATTGGATTTGCTACAGTAATTGGAAGGTTTCATATACCAGTGGTAAGGAATAACATCTATAATTACACTTTTAAAATACCTTGAAAAGATATATGGTAACATACTGACAATAAAAATTCTCCTTAAAAGGGGATGAGAAACTTTTATGAAGCCAGAAAAATAAAAAATTAAGTAAATTCCTACAACTTTCTCAAAGTACTTGGAAAACTACATATAACAACAAATAAAAATGCATTTACTCAATTTCACCAAACCTAAAATTAATTAACATTAAGGTGGGGTCAGAGAAGTCTGAATTATAAGAATTATTTTATAATTATGCAAGTGCAATAACTGTACCTTTCAGGTGCTTTGGGAAAAGGGGGTTTACTAGATAAATAAATGTAAACCTAATTTTTTATTAATTATGCATTGAGGAGACTAAAAAGGTTAAATTACATTCTTTCCCTATTACAACGACCTATCGTGGTTATGTATATGGTTAAGATGTTTTTTTCCAACATGTGAATTTTAAATGGAAGCAGCATTATTTTTGAAAGACACACCCTAACTACTACCTAAAAAATAAATTAAAATATTGATCCATTTGCATTTTCTTTTCAGTTAAAAAAACAGATATTGTGCAAATGTGAAGAAATGTGTTCTATGCCCTTTTCTGACACAGGTAAGCCACTTTGCCACCTGTGCATGTCTGAGTAACAGAAAAGAGTTTCCCACCTTCTTCAGGACCATTCCTAGTGACTATTACCAGAGCAGAGCACTTGCCCAGTTGGTTAAACACTTTGGCTGGACCTGGGTGGGGGCTGTAAGTAGCAACAATGACTATGGAATAAATGGCATTGCCACGTTTATGCAAGTGGCTCAACAGGAAGGTGTGTGTGTTGAGTATTCTGAGGCGTTTGACAGTACTGGTCCATACAGCGTGCTTCTCAGGATAGTCAGCGTAATAAAACGCTCCACCTCAAAGGTCATCATGGCCTTTATGACACACCGGGAAATCAAAGTGCTGGTGGAAGAGACCGAGCGACAGAACATTACTGACATACAGTGGATTGGCAGCGACGCCTGGATCACAGACACTTCCCTTACAAACAGCAAGGGCAACAAGGCGCTCGTTGGGGCAATAGGATTTGTAGTCAGCAAGGCACAGATACCTGGCCTGCAGAACTATCTCCAGAGACTCCACCCTTCACACTTTCCTCAGAGCTCTTTCGTTAGAGAATTCTGGGAAATTGTGTTCAACTGCACATTGGCCACTGGAAGCAAGAAATACCAGAAAAGACCCTGTAATGGCTCTGAAAATCTAGAAAATGTGCAGAACCAGTTCACTGACGTCAGTGACCTGCGTTTCACCAACAACGTGTACAAAGCAGTGTATGCTGTGGCTCACGCACTACACAACCTGTACACCTATGAGCACGGCTACGGTTTTGATTCCAGTAGCACACTGCCGCCATGGAAGGTCAGCTGGGGGACATTTGGGGTTGACTTCATAACTGTTTAAACTCTTAAATTAATTTGATTTGATGAAACTCAGACTGCTGCATGAATAATATTATATATATACGACAAAGCTAACATCAATGTGACTTAATATGTACCAGGATATTCCCTAAAAGAAAAAACAGCAATTTTTTTTGTTATTTCTGTGCAAAGGTTTTACACTACCTGCAAACTGTGAATTTCACACTAGAAACAGGAGAAGAAGTACTTTTTGACAGCAACGGAGATTCACCAGCCAGATATGATTTGATAAATCTACAAAATGTGGATGAGAGCACCATGCAGGTGGCCACAATTGGTTACTATGATGCATCGTTACCACAAGGACAACAGTTCATCATGAACAACACCAACATTGTCTGGGGAGGAGGCAGCAAAGAGGTATTACTTACAATATTTAAAATGAATATAGTAATTGCAGAAGTGTGAGTTTTCAGCAACCCAGCTTTCAGTGTGCTACTTAAAAAGCAGCAGAAAGCATCTTCAAGACCAGCACTGTGAGATGCTGCCCTGTTTGTGCTTTTTGTGTCCCTGCCAGGTGCCAGTGTCAGTGTGCAGTGAGAGCTGTCCCCCAGGAACCCGCAAGGCCGTGCAGAAAGGAAAGCCTGTCTGCTGCTACGACTGTGTACCCTGTGCTGAGGGGGAGATCAGCAATGCTACAGGTGCATCAACAGTGAGGTCATCTGTAGTGTTTTGGTATATATACAGAAAAGAATTCCTGACATGACTTAAAAATGAAAACCAAGCACACTGACAGTTTTAATATTTGTGTTATTTGCAGGAGGGACATATGGGGTATTTACATTATGTCGCCAATTTTTATAATTTCCCAATTAAAGCTACACAAAAGACACTTATTCAGAAGCAAGGATTACATCTGCATAATTCATCATTTCTAATCTGAATAGAAGCTATGGCAGTGTTTATTTAGATTGTTCAAAACAGACAGAGATTCTGAATAATAAACCCTATGTCAGTTACCACAACTATAAACATTAGTTAAAACACTAATAATTCCTTGCTGATGTGTTTTTTTATAATACAGATTTAGTAGACTGCATCAAGTGCCAATCTGAATATTGGTCCAACATCAGGAGAGATGCCTGTGTTTTAAAGGAAATTGAATTTTTGTCTTATGGAGACCTGATGGGACTTCTCCTAGCATTATTTTCCTTAATTGGAGCCTTTTTTACCACTGGAGTAGGACTGATATTTTACTATCACAGACACACGCCCATCGTCAGAGCCAATAACACTGAGCTGAGCTTCCTGCTGCTCTTTTCCCTGACCCTGTGTTTCCTCTGCTCACTCACGTTCATCGGCCGACCCTCTCACT